TCTGCATCCTGTTGCTTGTGTCTCACTACTGCAGACACCAGGGAAAGTTTTCTGTCTTTTCATTCAGGGTGATGGCCTTGAGATAAGCCATTTTCAGAAAAGACATTTTCTTAGAACATAGCTATGAACATTGTTGTCAGAAGAAAAGTAATTGCCTTGTGATTTTCCTTCTAGTGTCAGGAAGAGTAGGGCTAATGTTGCTCCAGTTTCTGAAACTGAAATTGATTCTCAGCCTTCAAAGATTGTGAGAAAAGGGGAGGAGAGAGGCTCTGAAGCATGGCATCAGGCCTTTGTACTATAAGGGAATGTTCCCATGAGGTCTAAAAAGACTCAACTGGGGCTACATCACAAGTTAGCAAGAAAATTGCAATCTTAAGCTAATACTTGATTCTGCACACCATTTAAGAGCAACAAGAAAGTGCTGTGAAGTGAATCAGAGCCTCCACATGTCTTTGGATCCTTAACCACTACTTTTTAAATTGAGTTAGAATAACTTTAGCAGAGCAAGCCCTTACAGCTCTCCCAGCCCTGTCAACTGCCTTTATATCTCTACTTAGCTTCCTACTTCCTTTTCCTGCAATTCTGCAACTGTGATCAATGTTCAGGTGAGTCTTGATTTTTTTTTTTTTGATTTTTCAAAGACAAATGAGAGGGAGAGAAATGAAGGAAAGAAATGTGTGAAGTTGTACTCATTTTCTATTCTCTCACCCTCCTGCCCACTACTCCAGAGGGAGAAGGTGGAAGCAGAAAGATGAACACTACCCTCATTTCCATGGAAACTACATGGAGGGATTTTCAGGACCTTTGGGGGACTTACATGATGGGCTCTGCCTCTTCCTCTGATAGTAGGAGAGTTGGTCCATTCTTTCATTCATTTTTCCACTAAACATTGATGGGAAAGGCATATGGCACTATGAAGAATACAAAATAAAGATTAAAAGACCTTTTCCCGTAAGAACTATGCTAATATTTGGGGTGATTAGCATCTATACTAAAAGTGGGTGGCTAAGACATCCAATATCAGTGACCTTTGTCTTAGAGAAACAGCAGCTTGGGGAATGCATATGACAGGAGTGTCTTTTGCAAAGTACACTCCTAATTACTTTGTAGATTAAATGAAATTATAATGACAACCAAAAGTAATTTATTAAGCACTAAAAGATCACTGTCCTAGGAATTTCATAAGTGTTACTTCATTTGGTCTGCACAATAATAACTATGAGCTATTATTATACCTGTCTTACTGATGAGGAAATTTTAGAGCCATTAGAGGGTGAGAAGCCTGTCCCACATGATACAGTTAACTTGGAGTACCAGTCCAGCAGTATAACCCAGGCTCTTAGCCACTCTGCTATTCTACTTTCCACACTGTGAAAATGTAGCATCACCAAGGTCCAATTCTGGAAGGAATGATTTTACTTTACCAATTCCCAAGCAGGCTTACACTACCTAAATGTAAAGGCAATCTAATTGAAGCTGGGGAAGAGGCTGTTATTCGGTTAACTTTCACCATATCTTCTTCTTCTCAGAGCCTATAGGATACAAATACTCTTCACAGGGCAGTGTTATCTGAGGAGGTGTATGAGAAAGTGACACAAAACACTTCCCATACAGGACATGGGGCTGGCTGCCTGGCTGACAGCCAGTGGGAATTTGTGGAACTTGGATTGCCTTCTGAACTTGTACTCCATGAAACAGGTCAGGTTATCTTCCTACATTTATTTTTGCTTATGGGAACTTACCACCATGGGAACTCTGTCCCCTGTAGGGGTCTGAGTACACAAGACAAACCAAAACAATAGTTATAAGGAAAGCACAGCCCAGCTCAGTTTTGAAAGGACTCAGTTTTGGAGAAAGGAAAAGTGACAGTAAGAGAGAGAGTTACAGAGATCACTAGTGTGATTCTCTTCTCTCTTTGATTATTACAATCTTGGCGGGGTAATACTGGGGGTTGAAATCAGGGCTTCTTGCTTACTAGGCAAGCACTCTACCACTTGAACTGCTCCCCAGAGCACTTCTCCCTTTAGACACAAATGGTGCTTATGACTACTAAAGCTCATATTGAAATTACCTCCCACCCACAGTGGGCTAGGAATTAAGACAGAACAGAGCAACATGGAAGACCTTAAAGCTACCTTTTCACCTTTTGATGGCCCCAATAGTCTATTACAATCATGGCCTCCCAAAACTTACCAGGCCAAAGTGGAAACAGTCTTGAAGAGATGTGATCAATGATGTAGTAAAATAAGCTAGGTCATCAAAGGGCCTTTGGTCTCAATATATACCTAATTTGCATTATTGATCTCCAAAAGCTAAGTTCTCTAGTCTATCAGGACTTCTTATAAGTCCTGATAGCATGGTTGACCAGTTACCATGCCCATCCCTCTGTTCTCTTAACATAGTAAAAGGTGATTGAAATAGAATAATAATAGAGTATAAGTTGCTGAATGGGCAAATGAATAAATGAATGCATATTTGAATGTATATGTGCATGAATGAACAAATGAATAAGAAGTCAATGAAAAGGACAGATACTTTCCAAACCAAAGGCATGCAAAGTATTTAATACCTAGTTTTGGAAAATCTGTAGGTTCATTTCCAGCAGTGAAGAAGAATAAAATGAAATCTAGTTGTCTGTAATGTTATAGGTTGTGTGTCAGCAACAACTCTCTAGCAGTCAATACAGGCTCTATTTATTACATTCTCTGAATATTTTTACTCTGTTTATTATATTCTCTGAAAATTTATCTTTACTTGGAGGAAAACAAGGTTGCATTCCAGTAGTCATCAGGCTATATTAACATAACAGCCTGATCTGTCCATTAATGAGAAGAGACAGGTCAATAGTTGGGATAGGTAGGAAATGCAAAGAAACAGAACTAGCTAAGACCTATTTTGGAAGTGTTTATGCTATAGTTTGACTATGTCCTCCAAAGTTCATGTATTGGAAACTTAATTCTTTTTTTTTTTTTGTCCTTTTTTTTTCTTTTATTATTCATATGTGCATACAAGGCTTGGTTCATTTCTCCCCCCTGCCCCCACCCCCTCTCTTACCACCCACTCCACCCCCTCCCGCTCCCCCCCTCAATACCCAGCAGAAACTATTTTCCCCTTATCTCTAATTTTGTTGTAGAGACAGTATAAGCATTAATAGGAAGGAACAAGGGGTTTTGCTGGTTGAGATAAGGATAGCTATACAGGGCATTGACTCACATTGATTTCCTGTGCATGGGTGTTACCTTCTAGGTTAATTCTTTTTGATCTAACCTTTTCTCTAGTACCTGTTCCCCTTTTCCTATTGGCCTCAGTTGCTTTTAAGGTATCTGCTTTAGTTTCTCTGCATTAAGGGCAACAAATGCTAGCTAGTTTTTTAGGTGTCTTACCTATCCTCACCCCTCCCTTGTGTGCTCTCGCGTTTATCATGTGCTCATAGTCCAATCCCCTTGTTGTGTTTGCCCTTGATCTAATGTCCACATATGAGGGAGAACATACGATTTTTGGTATTTTGGGCCAGGCTAACCTCACTCAGAATGATGTTCTCCAGTTCCATCCATTTACCAGCGAATGATAACATTTCGTTCTTCTTCATGGCTGCATAGAATTCCATTGTGTATAGATACCACATTTTCTTAATCCATTCGTCTGTGCTGGGGCATCTTGGCTGTGGAAACTTAATTCTTGAATTCATATGTTGATGGTATTTGGAAATGGGTCCTTGAAAGTTAATTAAGAATAAATGAGGTCATGAAGTTAGAGCCCCCCATGACAATTTTGTGGTCTATAAGAAGAAGAAGAGAGACTCAAACTAGCACACTTGCTCTGTCTCACCCTGTGGTACCCTCTGCCATTGTTATGATACCCTCCACCATTGTTATGATGAGCAAGAAGACCCTCACCAGATGTTGGCACCATGCTCTTGGATTTACCAGCCACCAGAACCATGAGCTAAATAAACCTCTATCACTTAAAAATTACCCAGTCTGGTAATTCAGGTATAGCAACTGAAAACACAGCAAGGCAGTTTGTGAAAGATCACATTCTATATAAGGTGAAATCCACTGTAGCCAACTAGAAAACAGCATACTCATCATACCAGTAGGAAGTGGCAAACCTTAAGACAGTGTGGGATTTGGGGAGTGGGATAAAAGTAGTACTAGAGATGGAACAAAGAAAGAAATAATTGAGTTGTTCTAAGCCAGTGCTTAGGAAGGTGCTGTAAAGAGTAAACAAGCCAATTCCTAGACCACCTGCAGCACAGGTAGAATGAAAGTGAAACTTCTTTCTGGACTGTGGACTAGAATGGAGGAGTTACCATATTTGAGGAATTGGTAGAAAGCTGGGACGGGGAAAGGACACTTAGGGGCAGTGTGAGGTCATTGACCTGTTGCTTTCTCTGTGAAGAGTTTCTCCATGGACCAGGGCCTTCTTGCAGGCACCGGGGTTAGAGTTCTGACACCTGCCTACTGGGTGGTAGAAAGATTCTGCAGTTAGGAGTGAGAACCTGGGGCTGTGGTCCCAGTTTTCCAACTCAGTTGTCTTAGACAAATCTCTGAACCCATCAGGGCTTTTTGTGATGTGTCATGGGACAATGAAATGCTTATTTGAAATTCACCAATTCATCACATTATTCTTTGTCTTCTTTTTATTTTAAATTTAAGTAAAATGATTTCTATTGTCTTTTATTTTAAATGGAATGAATAATATACAATCCTGCTTTTGTAAAATTTATAACCATTTATTTATGAAAGAATATACAAGTAAATTATTCTGAATAAAGGTATATCAAGATGTGTCCCCCAAACGTCCTCCAGTTAAAAAATTTTGAGCCATTTGAACTTTAATGGTGAGCATATGTCATTTCTACAATATAGCAAAGCCTATTATTTATATAAAAATGGAATAAATTGTTAGGAGTCTAGGTAAGTGAAAGACTGTGTAACTGTGAAGGTAGAGACTTGGGTCTTTTATGTACCAGTGTTCTTAGGTTCTCTTCTCTTCAGGTACCAGACCTGCTCCAACAATGGACTGGTGGCTGGGTTCCAGAGTCGCTACTTTGAGTCAGTGCTGGATCGAGAGTGGCAATTTTTTTGTTGTCGCTATAGCAAGAGATGCCCTTACTCCTGCTGGTGAGTCCAAGAGCCAAACACATTCCTTGGGACACTTGGGGCTGAAAGGGGTCTAGGGGCATTCTGATCCATGTTTCAGGATTCAGATTAGCCTGAATTTTCAAAACCTAGCTTGGAAAGCACCAACTAGCATGTATAAGAGAATGAATGACTGAGAAGAATATTCACACTGGAAAGGACCTTATGGATTATCCAACCTGATACTCTTATACCAGTCTTTTGGCAGAAAAGGAAACAGAACAGAGGAGGAAGACAGTAACAAATATTAGGCACTCACTAACATTTGTTGACTGATTGAATGAAGACTACAGCTTACTCCCTAGTTTTGTTGTGAATTTTAAATAAGATAATACATGCCTGGCATTGCCAGTGTCTGTGATCACACAGCTATTTCCTGGGGTTGTGAAGCCTTCATCTGAGACCTACAGATGCCTGTCCCTGAGTTTTTTTCTCTCTACCTTGCTAATTTCTCATCACATCCAAGGACCTTTGTGGAGAGTCTATATTCTTGCAGACTCTAGGGAAAAACCATCTCTACAATGGGTCTGACTCAATAGTTGTAGATAGAAAAAGAAAGATGTTGCTGTTCTCTGGATCCACTTGCAATTACAGCTTGTGGTATTTTGTTCCTTTTTCTCTTCCTGGGCTGTTGCCAAGTATCTCCTGACCTAGACTTCCAATTGACTAGAAGTGTGTATATATATTTATTTGCTCTGATAACACACTGGCTGTTGATAACACAACATGTCCCAAGTCCTTTGATCTGAAAAACAAGCCAGGCATTTCTGCCTTGCACAAAGGTATCCAAAGTTGTCAACATCTGAGGCTCTGGTCACTTTAGTGAGTTATCTCTCTACATTTCCATGCTTGGAAAGGAAGCCCTCAGGGTTTTCTGTGAACAGACAATGTTACTCCTCAGATGCCCAAGACACACACAATGTGTCTAGGGACATACAATTCCAAAGCTTAACACTTTTCTTTTTGAATAGTGACAAATAATGAATTCAGAACTCAAAGTCAGCTGATATCTATAGCTGCATGATGGAGCAGGAACTTCTATCAGCAACCCAAAAAAAAGCAGTTCTTTTGTTTTTGTTTTGTTTTGCTTTGCTTTGAGATATGGTTTCACTATATAGCCCAGACTGTCCTTGAACTCAAGATCCTCCTCTGTCCACCTCCTGAGTACTGGGACTACAGAAATGTACCACCACACCTAGTGTTAAAGCAGTGCTGTAAAGCAGTTCTTAACCTACCACTGCAGATTAGGGATGATGATACAACTGTGACAAGTCCTGAATAAAAAACTAAAGATCTTCAGGGTAGAGTAGGTGGCAGGAGTGCTGGTGTGGGTAAGAGGAAGCTGAGTTCTAGTTTCTGTGCTAACTCCTCCTTGCTGTCTCCTCTACCTCCTTCCTTTCTCTTCCTCCCCTCCCCACTGTAATTGTTGTGTCCCTAGTAAGTCCCTTTATTTCTCCAGAAAGCTTTAGTACATCATTTAAAATGATGCCCATGTTTTCTGAGTCTCCAAAATTTTTAAAAAGCTGATGAAAACTACAGACCTTGTCTTCAGTGAGAAAATACATGTGTATTTTTATGCGAAAGATTGCCAAGAATGCCAGTAATCTTCAAAGTCCCTAAAGGCTGTTCCTGGGCATACTACCAAGAACCCCTGTGTGGCAGGTTGAAGGTCCTGGACCTGTTAGATCTTTGAGGTTAGCGTGAGCCTCACAGTGTCTTAGCTCCAGTGGTACATTTGCAAAGGGCAATCCAGATGCCAGACTTACTATCAAAGAGAGGAGGCAGGTTCCAAAGGTACAAGTGAGAGTATGAAGGAGTCTGTCTACTGTGACTTGAGGAGGTGGCCTTCTACCTCCCCTTCCCTTCTGCTAAAAGAATGGCACTTTCCACAATGAAACCAGCTTCCCTCGATTGCAAGAGATTGGAAGCCAGTTAAAATGTAAAGAATTTATCTGAAGGAGCAAGCAAAAAGTAATCCTCAATCTGTTAATGCATTTGCCATACTAGCAAGAATTTCCCTTTGTGGGGCTCAGGGTGGGGTCACTGGGTGGTCAAGAGGAATGTGTTCAGGGGAGAGGTTACAGTGGGGAAGGTGGGAGGACGGACAGTTGAAGAGCCAGATGTGGGCAGCCCTATCCCTTCGCCCTTCACAGATTCCTCTGGGACTGCACTTATCCTACATTTTAACTATATGTGTACAATTGTCTTTCCATCTAGAGTTTGACCATCTGGAGATGGGCCCATTGGACTTGTATCCTCAATACATAGCATCAAGCTTGGCACACAGGCTGAATGTACAGATAAATGATTCTGGAGGACAGTCCCCAAAATATAGTTTCCTTACTTAATTTTTAAAAAATTCTCCAACCCCCATCTTCCCACCTCTATAATATATGGTTTATACAAGTAGAGACCTTTGCACTAATGTAGATAAACCATTAGACATACAGCAGGCACTTACTAATGTTTCGTAATGAATGAAGCCTTCATCCTACTCCCTAGTTTTATTGTGAGAATTAAACAAGAAAACATATGCCTGGCATTGCCACTGACTATGATCACACAGACCCAGCGTGTCTTAAAGACGAGTCTCTTTCACTCTCCCAGCTTTGGGAAAGACTAGCCTCTCCACCAACTAAAAGGTTTTTCAAAGGCAGACTCAGCCCAGGATCACTCAGCAGGGACCAGATCATCTTGAGGGGAGCTGAACTTGTGACTAGAGGTGGACATCCAGAAGAACAAGTGTGTCTACTTAGACATTCTGTTAGGGACATATTTGATAGGTAGCACTTAGACATGAGTGATGGAGATATGCAAAAGGAATCTACAAAGAAGAATCCTTGGTTCACTGCATATATGCTGCATGCTTAGCATAGGGAGGAGGCCTGATGGGAACTGATAAGGAGAAGGCCTGGTGCAGCCGAATCCTCCTCAAGATTGACTCTGCTCTGAACCTGGTCCCAAGCTCTGATCTGATCCAGTTGCCTTATGCCCAGTACCAATGTCATTATAATCTCATTGTACTTTAAATTTTTCTCTACCCCCATGGACTTTTCTTAGGTGGTCATGGGTAATCACCTGCACAGAGTGATTCCTGAAACATGTCATACTTCTTTCACAACTTTCATGTCAATCTCTCACTGTAGGCTGGCCTTGGGGAAGATCTTGACACTCCAAGCCCCTAAAACTTCATTAAAAGCTTGGGCTGATGTAGAAGTGATGGTTGTTCTCAACTTCTCTTTCTGAGATGATCCACTTTCACCTCCAAAAGTGCCTTTTCTTTCTAATAAACTATAGTTTTATGTCTTGCCTGAATTCTTCTCTTGCCCAATGCAAGAATTGAGATAGCTCTGCTAACCCTCCAATAGCACAGTGACTTATTCTTCCTCAGGCAGGGGAGTAAGCTGGGACGGCCACATACCCCATCACAGTGAGCCCTAGGTCTCTGCCAAGGTAAGTGGAAGAGCCTGCCTTGTGACAGAGCAGACCATGGCTGGCTGCCTGGGGTCCTGGACAAACAGAACAACAAGGAGTAGGCTTAGGGTCCAAAACTTTGGATGGCCAGGCAAGCAAGAACTTGGGGCTCTCTGATTTTTAGGAAAGCTAATAAATAGCAGAGGTAGAGGGTGAATGGAGGAAAGGGTGAGATAAAGGGGAGCCACCAAAATCTTCTACAGTTCTTACAGATTTCTGTGATGTGTGTCGACACTCTGAGCATTGCTGATTTACACTTATCTTGTTTTTTTGGATGATGAGGTCTGAAAAAGACGGTTCTTGGTGTCTTACATTACTAGTAAGAATGTTGTAATGATGCTACAGACTCTAGTTCACTTAGGCACTGTTTCCAGGCTGCTCCTGCTCCCTCACAAATACTAGATGTCCTCTTATCATGCACTTTGGAAATGACCGCTCAAAGAGATCAGATCTGATTTCTGTGAAAATTTTGTTTAAAAAGTCAAAACTTTCCATCTGCATAAGAAATGAGGAAGAGCAAATTCTTAGATAAACCTGAATATTGCCCCATCTCTTGCTTTCATGCATCTCTATCTCCTCTGACCTCTTGTCTACTTTCTCTCACTAACTCAGAGTGTTGTCTACCTTCCTATTTAAAACCTGCCTTCCCCAGCTCACAATTTTCAAACTTTCATTTTAGTCAAGCAGATTTCTAAAGGCACAAAGTATAGACCTCCAAAAGTATGAAATATAGTATGAATAAGTGAATGGATGGATGAATGGAAGGAAGAACAAAGAAAATGAGCTCTATTCTCTCTGTAGCCACCCTTTTATGTAATAAAAAAAAAAAGAAATGACCCTTCAAACTTCCTTTAGATGGAACTCAATAATTATGATGCTAAGAATTTAATGAGTATGGAAGAAATATGTAGGAAAAAAGTCCCATGGCTAACAATTATCAAATTGAGATGAGAAACTTTTCTTGAGGAAGCAGGGAGATTTACCCCATACCTTGGTCTGCAGTGACCTTCTATCCCCGCCTCCCAGGCTCCTAGTCCTCATCTTCCCTAATGCCACCGTAGACATATTTTTGTTGGTCATAATCATGGGGTAGGGGGAAGTAGAGAGAATTCCTTCGAAGGTCATAGCAAGTCAACCCTGAAACAGTTCCTACAAAGTTTTGCTTCAAGTTGATTGGCTCTATTTCTAACAGCATAGTATTAAACCTGGGAGCTACCAATGTGGCTGGAGGAAATGGTACTTTTTTTCAGAGGGAACCTTGGAGAATCCACAGAGTGAACATGTACTAAGCAAGCACCATGGTACACAATATATGACTCACTGTTCCACAGGTATCGAGACATTTTAGTGGCATCTTTAAATTGTCTGAGTCATGTTACATTATATCTTTCTAAATTGCATAAAGCCCCATGCAATTAGGTCTTATTTCTCCAGCATCTCAGCATATCGGCTGGCACAAAGTAGACCTTTAATAAATGTGTCAGGTGAATAAATGCATGTTGTGGGGC